GCATCATTCTTGTACAACTTCATATAGCCCGGGGCACTGAACACGGTGATCAAACGTTTGTCCACAAAGAACTCATAACCGTTCTGAACCAGATCACCAGACCGTATGAGTTGTAAGAAATCGAACCGTTCGCAAAATTGTTGCACCTCTTTCGCACCGAAAAGGTAACCCAAACCGCGCGGATTTCGTTCCCATCCATCGGTTTGAGCATCCGGTTCGGACCAGATAAAATGAGTGAGCAACAAATTGGTTTCAATTTCCGACGGACGTGGAATCCACAAATTGATAAAGTTCTGAAGTTGTTTGGCATTCTCACAACCGGAATACAATACGCATGGGGATATGCCACCATGCGAGCAAAATATCACATTCTCAATGATAGCTGTCACTGGGAGATAGTTGAACGTGTCCATTAGGACATCCCACAAACGACTGTTGAATCGAGTCCCAAATTCCGTGCGAAAACCGCACGCACGTCCTTGTTGATCTGATTCATGACAACCACGAAGTAGAAAAACTTTATTCGGATAAAGTAGTTTGTAGGCTAATAGGAGTGTGACGGTTTCCACAGATCTTTCGCCACTGCCCACATAATTGCCTAGGAATAGATAACGCGTATTTGGTGGGTGACCTATTTCGGTCAAGGTTTGTAGCAGCTCCGTGAAATGTCCCCGTATATCGCCGACCACGTTTAGTGGCTGATTCAATTTGACCGACAAACAGGAGGGCTCGTCCGATAGAATTTCCAGAAGGAGTAGACATATGTTGTGCAATTCCAACTCGGTAATCTGAACCGGGCGACCTTTTAGTGTTTGTACATCTGTGAGTCGATTGACCAGTAATCTTGTTTTATTCGATATGGATTGTTGTTTGCTTTTCGAGACAGATGGCTTGCCGCTCAGTTTTGGATCGCCCCTACGCATTTTCGAGCCACAAGGTTTGTCGGATGCGCAGTTCATTTTCCCGTTATGTTTTGCCACGTCAGAGTCGTTGAGATAAACCTCTGTGTGTGTGTGTGTGTGTGTGTGTGTGTGTTGGAATCAAATAGCATCATTAATCACGTTCAAATGGCTCCCTACGGCTCACGTGACTCATCACGTGATCCACAAACGTGTCATCTAAGATTGATCGATTTTCTTTGGATAGAACGCCGTAGTGTGTGTACAACGCACCAACGAATTAGGAAGAACAGTGACAAAGATTTTCCACGGGAAATTAGCCTACGCATTTTGTGTAGTGGTAGTAGTATTAGTAGTAGTAGTAGTAGTAGTAGTAGTAGTAGTACGCAATGAACTCACAATACGAACCACGGATTACCAATCACGGTCGTCACCGGTACTTGCACGCAATATCTCGCGTAACCGAGAAGCGAGGAAAAGACCGAAGGAGTAGTAGTACATCCTCAACGGTGCAGAGACTTGGCCACAGGATAATGATACATTATCAGTGTTCGAATAGCACTCACTATCTACGTCGCATTGCACGAGTCTGGTGGGGTAACCGGACGAGCAATGCTGAGGTGAGGCGTAGATTTTTAGGCAGTCGAGGCCATTCACTGGAGCAAGTGATCGACCTCCATAGATTACGTTGGTTGGGTCATCTGCTAAGCATGTAACCGAATTAGTTGCCACAGCGAGCGATGTGCACTGAGGCAGTTAGCGGTTGGAAAAAGGTCAAGGGCGGTCAAACGAAGACCTGGTATCAGGGTATGAAAACCCTGACCAGGAATCTGGGTCACAGGTCCCGTTAGGCTCCTTTGATGGGGACCCCGAGAAGATGGTCAACGATGGTTAGAGACACTGAGCGACATGGCTGGATGTCGCAAACAGGTGCGCTCGTGCATCCACTCATTATTATCCTAACACCACTCTGTATAAATTCTCCATCTTCGGCTTAAATTTGCTTCCAACATTCAAATCTTCATTCCGTTCTCTCATCCAAATGGGCAGCCAAAAGACAGCAACCAAAACCAGCGCACGAAAATGCGTGGTTAATGGTTGTAAGAACTGAACTGAATTGATTGAAAGAAATAAGCGGGGTTAAATAATATGTACAAAACAAGCTCAATGGTCATCCGGGCCTCTTCCAATCGCGTTCTATTACTTCTGGCATGGTTCAGCTTCTGTCTGTCCCGCATGGTTTCCGATTGGCCGGTACAATCGACCTCTGATATGTAGTCCAGAAGCTGTGGCACGCAAGCGGTTTACTGACGTCACCTGTGAAGCTTGATTGATCACAGTTGTCCTAACACTGTAACGTGTCGCTGCAGGTTATGCGTCATTTTGCAGGCTAGGATCACGACACTTTGGCCTGGGCCACCTGGCAGTATCGTGCCCTAGAGCAAATCCTGAGCCCCTTCTATTTTCATATATATAGGTACTATTAAATTTCAAAAGGCTTTCTATCTATCGATGAGCAACCCAGGCCAAGTAATGAAAGCTCTGTGCCACGTGAGTACATAGGGGATCCTGTTTAACCAGACAGTTCATGCATACTTAGCAAAAAGGGAATAGTCGTATTCCGCAACTGAGCGGCGAAAAACTGCTTATCTTATGGTATTTCTATTCAAAGATTATTTTGACGAAAGTAAATCATTTCAAAAGATCTGAACGACTGATTACGTGCTCAAGATTGGCTAAGCGTTTGTTTCACCGACCGTGGGAAGCCACCATTTTGAAATGTGCCTGTGCTTTTTCGATATTTTGACCTGTCGTTCACAGCTGCTCTTGTATGCCTATTTTCCAAGCCGCGCACATAATTCTACTATGAGCTCATTACAGTTTCACAATTGATACCACATGAATTATTTCAAGGGAATCTTAGATCTGGATCACCAGTTGGTGTTCTCTATTTTAGGTTCAAAAAATTGTTCACTGTTCACTATTATCGTAACAACCGTATAGGAGAAGTGTTACTCATTGTAAGGCAATCCGATCAAAGCATGCAATAGAATTGAATACGTCGAAGTCAACGTTTTGTCATGGGAAATACTTAAAACCGGTTGCTCTTCTTGTCCCACAAGGTATGTCGCACAATTGGATCGATTTACGAGTCATACCGGTATTCTAGTCGACAGTTTTGGAGCACTAATTTGAATGTGTGTCCCCGGGAGACGATTGGTTGGCGACAAGGTGAACATGGTGACATGGTTGACCAGGGTTTTGCATTATTTGATACTCCAAAACCAAGTCCGCTCAAATTTGGCTGTACTGTGTGGAATACAACCCCAATGATTCTAATCGTTTCACATAAGTCTTGGAATGCAGTCCTTTGATCATTTTGTTGCCAACGTTTTGTGGACGTTCCATAATCTTCCGATCGCTTTGCAGCCAAGGATTCTGGACTTGAATGATGTACTTTATGTGTGGTCAGACGTAGGCTGATAACAAACATGAAAACAGCATACGTTCTTATTTGCCCAATACACGCTTTAGTAAACCAACATGTCTTCTTGCAGTGGTAGGCTGTCATGAACAACGATATCGAGATTCTTCTTATTCGAGACTTACCGAGGTTGTTGATATCCCAAAATGTACGGAACCCGATTTTGTGGCGAAGGGATACGACCGCACATTCTTATGCACTGAATTGGATTTCGTTTTCGATCGACCATTGATAAGCAACACCATGTGTTCCCCGAAGTGCCGCTGAGTCCTCAGGTTTAGAATCGTCTGCAAACAATAACACAATCAGCAGTATTTTGTGCGAATCCTAACGAAATGAGTCGTGGCTTGCTAAACAGTTTATGCAATCACTCCATCGTTCCGTTTCCGAATCGCACTCTACTCCACTCGACAGCTCATTTTGTTAGGGCCTCAAAAACAGGTTTTAATTCGTAGCAAGTTTCTTCTTAAAAGTCTATTGTGTGATTGTAGTTTCACCATACTGTCAAATGAAAACCATTCCAGGTTTTATTGACTACTGTTTATTTAAAAGAAAAATGCTATACGACAAAACAATAAACGATTCGATTGGGAAAAATTCGACACATCACAATGAAGGATTATTTTGCAATCTGGTTGTGTAATACGAACCGCCGGAATCAAACTTACTTTTGAAGTCGATCGATCACGTGATTTCTGGGCTATACCCGATCTGATCTGAATCGACACGAAAACTACGGATGAAATTCAGAGCATAGTTACAAACGAACGTTTTAGCTGTCTTATTTCTGTCTTTCCTCCTCTTTTACTCTCAATCAATTGGTATTGGAAGCATATAGCCGAGTCTCGTTCTCTCTGTGTGTTAAGCACCAGGTAAATCGGGTGATCCATGATAGCGAGTTTACATTCTACAATATGGCGAAAATCTGATTGAATTTTGACAGGAACAAAATTCACATGAATGTACACAAACTAGGATTAGTCATCGATCGATCGATCGATCGTGTTCAACAGAACACTTTGACTGCCATAGATTGGAGACGACATTACTTGGCCCGAATTTGCGCTATCTGACGAAACCAATGCACATACATACACACACACGCACACCAGCTAACCAACCTACCAACCAAGCAACCAATTGGATCAATGTGATCAATCTAATATCCCGAATGTTGAACGCTGAACAACATGAACAACAACAGCCCCACCGGACTGTTCCATCTATAGTGAAAATTGCTGACCCTTCCTAGGCCTTGCATTCGGATCAATGTACTAGCATAGATCTGCCTGACCGATGGTGCTT